ACCACCTCATATCCACTAGAATGCTAACAATAATACCAAGTGCTGGCGTACATGTAGAGCAACTGGAACCCTCACGCGTTCCTGGTGAGGATGCAGAGTTTTACAGCCACTTTAGAAAATAGGTCCGCAGTATCCATTAAAGATAAACAACTTCCCTATGACCCAGCAATTCCACTTCTAGATATTTACCCAAAAGACGCAAAAATATGCATTCACAAAAAAGACTTGTACAAAATGATCACATCAGCTTTATTTAGAAGAGCCAAAAATGAGAAACAGTCCAGGTGTCCATCAACAGGTAAACAGATTTAATAAACTGTTTAATAAAAAGAAATCTACTATTAATACACACGACATGGATGGATTTCAAAAACATTTAGATGAGTGAAAAAAGTCAAACAAAACAAGTGTATGCCATGTGACTCCATTTACCATGAAGTCCCAAAGCAGGGGAAACTTAAGGCATGATGGTAGAAATCAGAGCAGTAACTACCTGGGAGAGTGAGGGTTGGGCTGAGGAAACTGGAGAGAGGACCCATGGAAATTTCCGGAGTGATGGAAATGTTCTATATGTTGATGGGATGTGGATGACACAGAAGCATACATTTGACAAAATGCATGGAATGCACACTTAAGAGCTGTGCCTTTCATTTCGCTGTTACACTCCACTTACTAAAAACAAAATATCTGGACTGTTAAAATGCAGCTTCCTGGACACCCCAGACCCACTGAGTCAGGGGGCCTTCTGCGATGGGGCCCGGGGAATCTGCATACTAAAGGGGCTCCAGCTTTGGACAGAGCAGTAGACTGGAGGCCTCTGTCCCCAAGGGTGACACCCGCACACTCCTCCCCCCACCCCGGGACGCCCCCCTCCGCCCAGGCCCCACTCGGCACTTGGCGCTGCCCGTCTCCCCGCGCCCCCAGCCCTCTGCCCAGTCGCCCCTGGAAACCAAGAAAGGGCCTGGAAATCCTCAAAGTGCAGCCGCTCGGGGAGGGGCCGTCCGCAGTGTCAGCGAGACAAGGGCACATACAAAATGCGGGGTAATTGCCGGCTTTCTAATTCGCGGCCCTTTGTGCGGCGGCGCGGAGCCGGCGGCCGCGGTCCCGGCCCGGGCCTTTCAGCCGCGCAGGGGGCGGGCGGCCGCGCTCCCGCGCTCCGCCGCGCATAATTAATCGGGCTTCACAGCGCCCGGGACAAAGGCGCCCATTCAGCCCGCCGCTCCTCCCCCCGGGGATATTGTTATTTCTGAAAACTGCCGCCAGCTGGGCCGCAGAGAAACGTCAGCTCTGTGGGAGAAAGAGCGCCCGGCCCAGGAGAGAGGGAGCTCTGTCTCTCGCCCCCCGCGCGGGATTAGAGCGGCCGGGGAGCCGGGCTGGGCAGGGGGCCCGGGGTCCTTTCTGAAGTCTGCGCGACTCCTCCGAGAGCCTCGTGATTTCCATGGGGCCCTGGAGGAGGACGCCATGCAAATGGAAATGCGGGGCGTTGAGGCTGGCTCCCAGGGAAGGAGGAGGGGTGCGCGGCGCCGGACCGTGGCTCGGCTCCCGGGGGGGAGGGGCGGCCGGGTGCCCCCACCTGTACCAGGCCCTCCCGGACACCAGGGGAAACGCGGCAAGGGATAAAGGCCTGCTGAGTGTGGGTCTGCGGAGGGGACGTCATGACTCCGGAGTTGCCCAGCTTCTGCTCCAAGGACCACCTGGAGAGCTTGCTGGAACCGGTTCCTACATCTGCCTGGGCCTCGCCCCCAGAGATTCGGGCCCCCAAACTTCGGTGGGGCCCAGGCATCTGGCTTTTCATAAGTTCCCCAAGCACCGAGATAGCCCAACAACATTGGATTAGCACCCAGCGCTGCCCCAGGGACATGGCTCAGGTGAGAAACAGGCCCAAGGAGGAAAACTGCCTTGTCCAGGGTCACAGAACAGAGCTGGAGGTGGTCCCTGGGTACGCTGATTGTGCACAAAAGCAGAAGAGAAGGGAGAGGATGTTGGAAAGGGAGGCCCAGGCCTCACTTCCTCCTCTAAGCATTCCCCAACCACTCAGGCCCGTCTGAGCTCTCTTCCATGGCCTGCCCTTGCAGGAGACCAGTCTGCCTGGGTAGATGCCTCCAGCACATTCTGTCTGCTGGCTTCACTGGGGCTGCTGGTCCCTGCTCCATTAGAGGCATGGTTGAGTGCAGGCCCAGGGGCCCCTGGATTTGTGTCAGGGCTGGTGCCCTGCAGAGCTCTAGCCAGGGCTCAATAAATAGGAAGGAACAGCACCTCCTGACTCCAGGGTCCAGGCCTTCCAGGCTATGTTCCTCTTCAAAGCCAGCATCCTTCTGAGGCCCAGCAGAGGCCCAGTCCCAGGCCGGCAGTGCTGGGCTTCACCTTTCTGCCACTGAACCCAAGGAAACGGGCACTCGTCTATTCCTCCTCCCAAAGCTGGGAGCAGTCATGAAGAGCCACCACGGATTTCCAAACCTCAGCGTCCTGAACACCTCCCAGAACAAGCAGGGGCCTTTCCAGAACCCTGCCCGTCCCAACCCACCTCACCGAGACATTCTGTCCCTCAGCTGTACTCTGGAAAATGTTCCCTCGGTCTAAGACTGCCAGTCCTGAGCAGGACCCGGCCCCGGAGCCAGACCGCACCACAGAGCCTCACTCCTCCCGGCAAGGCAGGGAAAAGGAAGCTGCCTGAATTTTCAGAGGAGCCCAGGCTGGCCTCCAGGGCCCAGAGAGGGTGGCCAATCACACTTTCTTCTGCTTCCATCACGCCATGCTGGACACTGAAAAGCCAATATCATGCGACATTCACATCTGTGGGTGGGAGAATGTGCAGAAGCCTCCAGGGGACCAAGTGGAGGAAAAGAGAGTGCAGAGTTCAGCCACTGCCTGGCCAGGGCTCTAAGGGGACAGACCAGCTGTCCAGAAACAAGCAGTCCCAAGCATAGCCATGGATGCCAGCAGAGTTTCCTGGCGGGGGAGGGGTTCTGTGACCTAGTCAACCTCCAACGGCCAGGCCACCAGCATGGCATCAACAGAAAAACAACCTAGCTGTGTCCTATTAAAGGAGCTTTATTTAAGGTATGGAATGAGCCAATACTGTCTGAAAATGAAAGGAGTACAGCTCAGCTAAAAGGAAACCAGACTATATAAAAGAATGTCCTTAAAGTATAATATAAACTGAATATTTCAGGGTGAAGGGGCAAGATGTCTCTAACTTTTTCTCAAATGATTTCTTAAGTGTAAATAATTGGTGAACCTGGCCAAAGGAATTCCTTGTATATTCTTATAATTTTTCTGAAGTTTAAAGTTTAAAGCACAAAACAGTAGGCAGCCCGCGCGCGCGCACACACACACACACACACACACACACACACACACACAAACATCATAGCATCAATATTCTAAATCCTGTAGCCAGGGAAGGGACTCGGCTCTCCTGTTACCCCTCACCCACACACTCACACTCACGCATCTGTCATTGTCTTCTATTAGAGCCATTTATGAACCCAAGTTTAAAGGTCCACAAAGGTAAGGACTTTTGTTTATCTCTGAATCTTACTGCAGCTAGCACTGTGCCTTGTAGATGGTAGGCATTCAACTGAACCTGGAGTCCAGTCATTGCTGTGAAAGGTTTCCAGCTCTGAGTGAGGTGGAAGAAGGAGGAGTGGCCAATGGGAAGAAAGAACCAAGAAAGATGGCGGGGCCCATATGGATTTTCCGGTCCAATACACTCATGTCAGAGCAGCATCCAGGCTCCATGAAGACTCCACAAGGGCAGGGACTGTGTCTGTTCTCTCTACACCCCCAGCACCTAGCACAGCAGCCGACACAGAGCTATGCTCAGTGAATACTTGCTGAATAATGGAGTGTGTGGGAGTCTTGTCAAGCTGAATTCAGTTGAGCTGAGATGCCTTCTTCACCAGGGCACCCTGAGCAGGCTCTTTGAGAGTCATACTTCTGACCTCACATGCTCGGCCACAGAGTCAGACCGATGCAGCTCTCCCCTCTCTGCTTTAACTTGCACTCACAGAGCAGGTCACTTTGGCAGCCAGTGCTACCATGGCCCTGAGAAAGGTGATGGCACCGTCTCTATGGCCAGTTAAGGTGTTCAGAGTTAGGATCATGGCCTCTGGGTTGGGGCCACCTTGGGAAGAGGAGCTTTGCCTGAGGACCTTTCTGGAGTGGGGGCAGGATCTTCTGTAAGAAAGCCTGGGTTGAAGTTATGGTCCCCCCCCTCCCATTCCCTCCCCACATACACAGGCAGGGACATAGGGAGGCTCAGGCCTGGAGGGCAGCAGAGAGCAGCACCCAACAGGTGCCAGCGACAGGGAGAGCAGCTGGCCTGGGGGAAGCAGGGAGGGTGAGACCCAGAGTGGTCAGGAGCTGCATTTTCCCCCAGTCGCTTCGAGCCAGAGTGCTTGTTACAGGGCAGAGGGGCCGCTCTCCCAGCTGCTAGCGGGAATAGGAGCCTGAGACATGGGGCCCATCAGGCTCTCTTAGACCTTGACATGCCTTCGACCCCGGGCTAGGACCCTTATGTAGTAGTCTCCTGCTGCTACAAATGATTGTGTATGTTCTCTCCATGTGTCTGCATGTGTGCACGTATGTGACTGGGCCGGCTCACCTGCGAGGTCCAAGAGGAACCCAGCTGCACCGAGCATGGGTGGCATGGATGCTGACGGGGCCGTGCTGGGTTTTATGGCTTCCCTTTGGGTGGGTAAGTGCCACTTGTAGAGAAGAGCCTTTGGATTCATTCATTAATTCAATAAATATTTATTAGGGAGGGGCACAGGAAACAAAAATCCTGAGCCCCAGGTCAGCCCAGGGGAGAGTTGGATGCATTCCTGGCCTTGGGGGTCAGACACCTCAGGCAGCCCAGATGTCTGTGTCCCTCCAAAATTCATATGTTAAAATCTGCACCCCCAAGGTGATGGTGTTCAGAGGTGGGGCCCTTTAAGAGGTGATTAAGTCCTGGGGGTGGAGCCCTCATGAATGCAATTAGTGCCCTTATAAAAGAAGCCGGAGAGAGACCCCTGGCCCCTTCTGCCATGTGAGGTCAGAGTAAGAAGGCGCCATCTAAGAGGAAGATGCCCTCACCAGACACTGGATCTGCAACACCTTGATCTCAGACTTCCAGCCTCCAGAAATGTGAGAAATGTCTTTTATAAGCCACCCAGTCTATGGTATTTTGTTATAGCAGCCTGAATGGACTAAGACACCAAAGAAATCGCTGCATGCCTTGGGGGAGGGGGGAGTTCCTCCTCTAGCAGCCCGGATGTGGGGCTGGCCATCCCCACAGAGGCGTTCCAGCGCCTTCACCATTCTCCTGCTCCCCCTTAGAGGAAATCACTTCCTGGGCCTTTGGGGCAGGCTGGGCACACTCCCAGCACACTCTTGTGTTTGCTTTCAGCCTAAGGAAAAGCCAGGCTCCCTGCCTGGGAACTCATTCCCCTTCCCCCTACCCCTGCCACCCCCTTTCTTCTCTTTCTCCCTCCCCACTCCCCAACCCCAAGAGCTTCCAAAGTGAGGACATGTGGGCCCACTCTCAGGGCCTGCCTGCACCACTCCTGGATCACCCACCTCCTCCCCCAGCTCCCAGCCTCACCCCACCCCCGCCATTCCTCTTTGTGGACAACTTTCTAAATGCAGCCGCACTTCCCCTTTCTGTCCACAGGGCCTATAAAACAGCTGCGGAAAGGCGGCAGCTCTGTGCAAGCTCTCTTGCCAAGTTTGGCTGAGACCAATGCCCGCTAGCTCTAGCCATTGCTTCCTCCCTCCTGGGCGCTGGAAGACCAGGCTCCTCCTCCAGTTAAGAGTGGGGAGATACAGTCTCCCCAACACCCTAGTGTGAAGAGAAGTCACGAGTGGCCCAGCTGGTGCAGCCAGTGGGAGGAGAGGCAGCCCAAAGACTGGCCTGGTTTCTGCCTGACCGTGTGGAACCCTGGCGGTCCTCTCTCCCCCAGACCCGGTCTTCTCATTTGGAGGACGAGGGGATAGCTTGGCTGGTTTTCCTGTCTCCTTCCAAGTCTAAAATTTCACAAATCGGTCATTTCTGCTTAGGGTGCTCCTGCCCAGTGACTGGAGAGAGGAGGGGCTTTGCCCAGGGACACCCACTACCTGGGGTTGTCCAGACGGACACCCAGGTCCCCCGACCTGCACTCAGTGCTCTCTCTGCGACACTCCGTCCTCAGTGGAACAGTAGCTCTCAATCCCGGCCACATCAGCATCACCTGGGGGGATTTCACAGCCTCCCAATCCGCAGCTGCACTCCAGACCAATGAAATCGGAGTCCCGGGCTGGGAGCTGGAGGTAGGTCTGTTTGGAAAACTATGACGGAGCCGTCAGGGTTGAGGGCCATCGTGGAAAAGTCTTCTAGAGACTGAAGATCAAGCTCTAAGCCAGAGGTGATGCATTTCTGTCCCATGTTCTCTGCTGAGAGGATCGTGAGGCTGGTGGGAAGAGATCTCTGACGAACCACCGAGTCTGGCAGGCGTTGGGGAGTGGCTGTGGTCCCACTGTGAGAACGTGGGGCCAGCCTCCAGGTGCTGACTCATTGGCATGTGGCTCCCTCCCAGGACCCTGGGGTCTGCCCCTGGACTCCAGGTCAGGTGGCCCCAGGGCTGCTGTCCAGGAACTTGAAACCAACCTCAGCCAGAGTTAGAAGGCCCCAGGTTAGCCCCAGCCCTCCAAGGGCTTCGTGCAGAATGAGAGAAGGCAAATAGAGAAGGGAAACCAAAGCAGAGCAGAGTGCAGTGAAGGAGAAAAAGACAAGAGAAAGGGGAAGGACCCTGAGGTCAGTGAGTCATGTGAATGGCATTTAGGGAACAAAACCCCCTCCCCTGTGCCCACCAGGCTCCCCCCATCCATCCTTCCCTGGCCTCAGGAGAGGCACTCTCCTGCCCGGGTCCAGAGCACGGAGGGTACTGCTGCCCGCAGAGGCCCAGGAGAGGAAGTCCAAATGCAGACATTTGCCAGCCATGAGTCGTGAGCCCCGTGCGTCCTCTCCCAGTCGGTGCCAGCAAGAGCCCTCCTCTCGGACACACTCTCAGATCCTCGCCCTCTCCTGACCAGAGCCAAGGTCTCCGGTCAGACATCTGAGCAAAGCCACCTGGCCATTCCTAGACCAAAGGAAATGTTCAATCTGATTCCCAAGACACTTGACACCCCAACCGGGTGATCTGATCCGGATGATACTGCCGAGGAGCTGTGTGACCTCGAGCGAGCCACCTCATCCCCACCCGGACCTCAGGGCCTGACCTTGTCTGCCTTCCGTGCCATCATGTTTGGATGGGAGGGATGCCACTGCGGCCAGGGCTGGAGAGACTGGGCTCTGGACACAGAGGCCTGGGCCTGGCTCCGCCGCTTACTGGCCTTGTGAGTGTTGGCAGCGACAGCTCTGCACCCATTTCCCCACTGGAAGGCGAGAGTTAGCAAACTGATGACAGAAGGGGAGAAGATAAGACACGTCCAAACACCATGGGACTCACATCTAGAATACACATGACCGCCTTTTGTAAATCCAAAAAGCATGGCAACTCCAGTGGAAGATTGGGCGCAGGATGTGAATGGGCAGTTAAGAGAGCTGCAAGGATGTTTGCACACGGGACGATACACAGTTAATGCATCGAAGAGTTTGCCATCAGGAGGGGAGGGGAGTGAGAAACAGGGACACATGGGATGGTGGTTCTCAACCTTGGGGTGACTTTGCTCCCTCCCTGTATGGGACATTTGGCAATGTCTGGAGACATTGTTGATTGTCACAGTGGGGGTGGAGAGATGCTACTGGCATGTCGTGGGAAGAGACCAAGGGTGCTGGAAGACACCCTCCAATGTGCAGGACAGCCCCCACAAAGAGCATGGTCTGGCCTGCAACGTCAACAGTGCTGAGAGTGAGAGACTCTGTGCTAGACAGACAGATAAGCACATGAAGGGGCCTTTCAAGGACAAATGATGAACGTGTACCATGAACTGAGGAGGCACAGGATTAATTTAAATAAGTGAAATACAATGGCAACAATGATGGCTCTTCAATGGCACACGGTAGGCTGTTCGGTTCATATTCGCTCCTCTATTGCGACTCTTCTGTTGAGATCTGAACTGCTGTAGCAGAAACTGGGGGCCTCGGGCCACAGGGACCCCGGTCTCGCCGGGAGACAACAGAGCAGTCGCAGCGGCCAGCCCAGCTCACATCCCTGAGGGAAGGGGCAAAAGGTGGCTTATTAAAAAGGGTGGGGGTGGGGGGAGTGACTAGGTTGGGAGAGAAGAGGAAGAGAAAGGAGACACTGCAAGTTTCAGTGTTTCACAATGCTATAAAAATACCCAGAAAGCCTCGGGGCTGGGGAGAAGTGCAAATTGAGCAACGGCTGTGGTTCTCTTCTCAAATTCATGGAAAATCCTCTTTTCACACTCCTGAGTCAGGGAAGCCAGCACCTCCAGCACCTCCAGCACCTCCAGCACCTCCAGCACCTCCAGCCTCCACCACCAGCACAGTGGCCTAGGAAGGGACACTTGTCCCACAGCCACTAGACCTTGCAACATCTCTCCCCCTCGCTGCCTCCCCTTCTCCTCCCACTCACTCGGCCAATCCTCTGTCCCTTGCGCTCCAGGACACAGATTATTTATTTGTTGACTCCCACTCTGGTCCTACTCGAGCCCTGAAGCAGTTGACGAGATACATACAAAATGATGATTATAATCCCATCTGTTAGACACCAGCAACTGGAAAGGATTTATCTGCCTCCCTCAAATAGCAGGCCAAGAGATCCTCTAAGATTCTCAAAGCTGAGCGCCAAATTTGGCTCTGAGCTTCCTGGCAACCCAAGTAAAGTGGGAATTGGGGCCGGTTTCGTGAGTCACACTGTCCATAAGTCAGAAGCCCACCAGTTCCTCTGAGGATGCAGAGCCTTGCTGGAAACTGGAGCCTAAAATATATTCTGCTCGCAGGGCTTCCAGAGAACGCCAGCAGTGAATAACAGCGACAGCAGGGTCCCAAAATAAACACCGCAGCAGGACTCCTCTGGCCGTTTCCCTAACAGTCTCCGTGTCATAAGGGAGGGGCATAAAGATTCTTTGGTAACTAAATAATGTGGTCCGAGCTTCGTGAGAGTCGGACGTGGTTGAGGGCTAAGTCTCCGCTGGAAGAATGGATGGAATGCATGGCCTTTAAATAACCCCTATGAACTTTATTTCTCTCAACTGAGCTTTTGATAAAACTCGGGCAGCGGGAGGCAGTTGGAGGTTGTAACCGCTGACAAGGGTCTGGCAGGCAGCACTGGCGCGGGGCGAGGGTGGAGCCGTGGGTCCCTGGCACCTGCAGAGGCACCATTCACGGGTTCAGCTGGGCGCAGAACAAGCAGGGCTTTAGCATTTCCCTCTGGCCTGGAGGGGACTGGCTGGAAGGCTGGCAAGGACAGGAGCTCCGAGAGGCCCTTGCTTCAGTTTGTCATCAAGGGTGACAATAGCTCTCATTTATGTCGGGCCCCGGCACGATGTCATTACCTCAGTTAATCTTCACAACCAAGCTATGAGGTCGAGACCATGATTGTCCTCATGTTACACATGAGTAAACTGAGGCTCAGAGGACTCTGCCAGGGGTAACCCAGCTAGGAAGAGCAGAGCTACGAAGCCCGCTCAAATCAGTCGTGTTCCAAAGTTCACACGCCTCTAACCGCCACACTGGGAGACTCTGGCACACGGAGAGATAAAACCTGTGGGAAAAGTGAAAAGGCAGTTAATTTGTGGCCTGAGAGCACAGGAAACACATAGCTCTCAAGAAAACCCAGCTCGGGAGAAAGCCGGAAGCCCACACCAACGTTTTGAGTTTGAGACCGCGGGGCTTGTGGAAGGTCTGTGGACAAAGCCCTCTCCAACACGGCCCGCCTGCTGCGTTGCAGATGCCAGTCACGTCCAAGCTTCTGCAAAAGTCAGGGGACGAGGGGTGTGGCAGGAAAGGACCCAGCTAGAACGAAGGCTACAGGGCAGTGGGTGGAGGGCACCCCACGACCGAGCTCAAGGCGCTCCCCAGAAGCTGCTGATGCCAGGGGGCGAGCAGAGCAGAGCCCGCACGCTCCACCTGAGCACAGGGCGAGCTGATATGGACACAGCCGTAAGTGCAGCCTGTCACTTCCCCAGGAAGCCGGCAGGAAGGCGTGTCATGGACAAAACAGAACCTGTGAACTTGTCCACAGCTGTGCTCCTGAGCACTGCACGGCAGGGCCGGCGCCCCTGGGAGCCTCTTGTAGCTCATGACACGGGAGTCCCGTCTCCTTTCACTGGATGCACAGAGTTCTCTTTAGGAGGGGGACAGGAGTGGCCACACGAAATCTTTTCTCACCATGAGCAACATGCTGACCAGCAGGACCCAGGCTCAGCCCCATGAAATCTGATGGCTCAGGACGTAGTCATGTTTAACCAGGCACTGGAGACAGCTGTCCCCAAGCCAGCTGTGTGGGTGGGGAGAGGGTCAGGCCCAGTGCCTGCCCTCATGGGGCTGAGTCTACAGAAGGCCACCGAGGTGGAAACACCTCTATGTGTCTTCACAAGTCCCCGCTAGAAAATTGAGAAAGAAGAGAAGAGAAGAAGGGACAGACCTACAAAACAGATCTGGAATCTAATCCCTTTCCCCCCCTCTCCCATCTCTCCTGCCCACTGTGGCCACCATCGTCTCCGGCCTGGATTATCCAAGGGATCCTGACCACAACAGGCTCACTCCCACCACGGGGCCTTTGCACTTGCTGTTCTCTGTGTTCTTCCTGAAGTATCCCCATATTTCAGCACCTTCATGTCTTTGCTTAAATAATCCCTTTTCAATGAGTAGGTTTGTTCTTTGAGGCCACACAAGTAAAGTTCACAACAATGCCCATTTCCCTGCCAGTCCACAAATATTTAATTAGGTGCAATGCAGGAGGCTTCACTCACTAGCTCCTCACAGCTCACTCTCTTAAGGAACTGGGACAAGTTTCCTGTTGGCCTTGGCCAGAGGCTATTTTCGGGGCTCATGTGAGTGACCCAGAAGTGGCCCTACTGCCACCATCAGCCAGTACACTGGGATCAAGCTAGGCTCCTTCAATCTGCTGGCCCCATGGCTGGTCCTCCCCTCCTAGAGAAATCCCAGCAGCACTTGGATTGCCTTTCCTTCCCCCCCCCCCCACCGACCAGGAGGCCTAGTCCCAGACAGATCCCAGGAACCTGGCCTGATGCAAGTTTGGGTTCCCATTTAGTTGGATACATCACTCTTTACCAGAACACAATATTTGGGACATGGAAATCAGCTCTGACCTGTTCCAGCAGGACTGAGGAGCTGGTCACCAAAGCTCACTTTCTCCTCTTCTTGGGACACCCATCCAGGCCACAATTCCAGCTCCTGTGGCTTCAAGGGTGGGCAATGGAGTGTGAGCAGAAGTCATGTGATTCATTCCCTTTTCTTTCCCCATCTGCCACGACCTCATGGCCTAGCAATGGCAGAGCCACAAGAAGGAGCCTGGGTGCCTGAGTCTCTGCTCGGAGGAAGGCTGCCTGCCAGTCTCAGACTGGGCCTTTATGTGAATGAAAAACTTCGTGAGCAGCCCCCCACATTTGGGAAATTGGCCATGATATGAACTTGGTGTTTAATTTCATCCTCCTCACTCCAACTCTTCTCTGTCCCCTCCCCTAATTGCATCTCCCACCTGAACCATGTCCCCTCCTCCCCACTCATACCAGGCCTCAGTGGTACCTGAGCAGCTCATAAGTGAATAGTTTCTGCTCTTGGGATCTGTGAGCTGCTGTTAAAGGCAGCTGGCAGAGAGGGAAGGCTTCCCACCACCTCCCCACAAGCCTGGTTCCAAGAGAGTGCAGCTTTGGGCAAGACTCCACCCTTACAGAGACTCCGCTTCCTCATCCTTCAACCTGGAACAACAGCATCTGCCCGTGCCACCTCACAGAGGAAAAGACTGGAAGCCCTGATATGCAGGAGCAGCCACTCCAAGCTGGACCCTCTGCAAACGTCACCTCGCTGATATCCCCTATCTCAGATGGGGAAACCAAAGCATACAGGGGCTTAAAAGTAACCTGCCAAGTTCACACAATTAGCAAGTAGCTGCCCCGAGCCCTGACTTGGTCCTCCCCATCCTCCCTCCTTAACCAGATGGCACCACCACCCACCTGCCTGCCCGAGCCAAAAACCTCAGGTCAGCTCTGCTGCCCACTCCCCCTCACCTCCCATACACAATTGGGCACCAAATCCCAGTCATTTTGCCTTAATAAATCACTCTCCAATTTTGCGCTTCCCTCCCTCTCTGTTGCTCCTACCCTGGTCCAAGCCCCCTGCACGCCTCTCTCGCCTCCTGCAGGAGCCTCCTCACTGGCCTCCACACAACCCTTCCCCACTCCACGGGCTTGCCACGCAGCAGCCACGGGCACCTTTGGAGACGCAAATCTCACTGTGCCAACTCCCAGGGTAGACAGCTCAATGGCTTCCCACTGCTCTTGCGACAAGGCCTTGCAATGGTCTGTCCAGCCTGTGAGACCCAGTGTCTTCTTGAACCATCCGCCCTGCCACCCTCTCCTCATTCCAGTCCCCTGACACCCACCAGCTCCTTCCCTGGGGGAAGCATCTTCTGCACATGCGGTTCCTTCTGCATGGAACTCTTCCTCCCCCTCTTCCCCTGGCTTTCTCCTAATCACCCTTCTTATCTCAGTTCTAGTGTCACTTCTTCAAAAACTTGTCCCTGACCTCCTTGACTAGGTGACATCCCCATAGCACTCGTCATTGTTATTAGCTCATGTCCATGTGAGTAATTATTTGAAGAATGTGCATCTCCCTTACATGATTTTAACCTCCTTGAGGATAGGAACCGTGTCTGGTTTGCTCTCCATTGAAACCCAGGGTGTGACACAGTGTCTGACTCACAGTAGAACTAGGATGTTGGCTGAATGAATGAATCAGTGAAAGTTAGAACTGAAATCTAAGTCTTCATGACCTAGCTTCATGACTCCTCACTTACAGATTGTTGTGGGGAATTGTATTAGTCTGCTCAGGCTGCATAACAAAAATACC